TAATTAAAAAATAGCTGCAGCAATATATTGACAGAGAATTGCTAGAAATTCAAACTGGATTCAGAAGAGGGTGTGGAATGAGGGATATCAATGCTGTTGTCAGATGGATCATGTCTGGAAACAAAGAATACCAGAAAGATGTTTACCTGTGCGTTTTATTAACTATGCCAAGGCATTTGACTGTGTGGATCATAACAAATTATGGGTGACATTGTGAAGAAAGGGAATTCCAGAACAATTCACTGTGCTTTTGAGGAACCTGTACTTAGCCAAGAGACGATTGTTTTAATGGAACAAGGGGATACTGCATGGTTTAAAATCAGGAAAAGTTTGCATCAGGGTTGTATTCTTTCATCATATTCATTTTATCTGTATATTGAATAAATAATTTGAGAAGTTGGTCTGTATGAAGAAGGATGTGGCATCAGGATTGGAGGGAAACTCATTAACAACCTATGATTTGCAGATGACACAACCTTTCTTGCTGAAAGTGAAGATGACTTGAAGCAGTTACTGACTGATGAAGATCAAAGAATACAGCTTTCAATATGGATTACACCTCAACATAAAGAAAAGAGAGATCCTCACACCTGGACCAATAAGCAACAGCATGATAAGCAGAGAAAAATTTGCAGCTGTCAGGGATTTCATCTCACTTGGATCCACAGTCAATGCCCATGGAAGCAGCAGTCAAGAAATCAGTTGGCCCCAAGAAAGGGGAAGACCCTCAATGAGCTGGTTTGACACAGTGGCTGCAATGATGGGCTGAAGCATAGCAAAGATTGTAATGATGGCACAAGACCAGGCAGTGTTTCATTCTGTAGTACATGGGGTTGCTATGACTTGGAGCCCATTTGACGGCACCTGTGATAGTTGGAGCTGTGTGTCAACTTGGCTGGACCACAATTCTATGTGGTTTAAGCAATTGTGATGTGGGTTGTTCCAATGATGGGATCAGATGTATATGTTTTGAGCAGCCAGTCCATTGAAAGAGAGTTTCCCTAGGGATGTGGCCTGCTTCCAGTATAGTTATGGACATCCTGGGAAAAGAGACACTTTTCTGTGGATCGGGATTCTGTTGTGCTGCCTACAACTGTCTGTGAGCAAACAATCCACTATTCGGCCTGGTGATCTTGGATTTGTCATTCATTGGAGTCAACAGCCAGTATACTGCCTGCCAACCTTGAGCTCCTCAGCCCCTGTAGCTGCATGAGTCGGGAAAAGCCTCCAACTTGACGTTTGATCTAAGAACTTTAGACTTGCGAGCTTCTGTAAGTGTGTGAGCCATTTTCCTAAGATAAATTTCTCTTCTCTCTACATATAAGCTTTACTGGTTTTGTTTCTCTAGAGAACCCAGTCTAACACAGCACCTAACAACAATAAGAACAAAAACCCATGTCAAGGTAGAAACAGCAGAAGGAAGAAAGGAAGAAAAGAAAAAAAAATTCATTTGAAACAGGGGGCCCTTCATTTTTATTCTGTAGCCAGCCCTGTCTAGAGCCTTCAGAACCTGGCTAGTTAAAATATCATCAAGGGACCAGCAGCATTGGTATCACCTGGTACCTTATTAAAAAAATGCATACTCAGGCCCATCCCTGACCTACTAAATCAGGATCTGCTGGGTGACTTATAGGATCCCTGGGTGATTCATAAGACATTGAAGTTTGAGAAGCAGTGGTCCTGAACACACTGGACTTCATCATCAATGACCTATTAGATGAAGCCTGTGATTCTAGACCTGATTGTTTTGTCATGATGGCTAAATGTGTTTTCCTTTTCTTTGAGATACAGCAACCAGCTATTCATGTTGGAAGGTGGGATGGAAAGGAGAAAAGATCTGGCCAGTAATAAACACTGAAAAAGGAATTGCTCTGAATACCAAGCTTTGCCAACTCCTGTTGCTTGAAATTACATTTACCCTGTTCTCTACCCTTGGGCTCAAAGCTTAGCATCTTTCCCAGCTGCGGAGAGGGAAAGGGTGGCTTGATTAAAATAAGCTTTGGCCTTCATGGAAATTGCTTTGAACTTTATTTGTATAAGTCTTCAGGACTTGCCAAGTCTCTCTGGATGTAATGAGAAAGCAGCACCTTCCTTTCTTTCTTGGCAGAACCTGTTTTTGAGCATGATGTGGCTATTGTTTTAGTAACTTGGCAGGTTCTAGGAAAGGTGATTATCAAAAGCAACCAACATGAATGGTTGCACATGATTGATGTAATTGGTTTCATTGAGTTGTACAAGTGACAAATGCCAAATTGGCAAATGTTGTGTTATCTATATTCTTTACAACAAAAAAAGAAAGTGAAAAAAATAGCAGCCAAACGAATCCCCCTATCTCCTCCACCTTCCTGCATAAGCCTTTCTGGGGAAGAGCGGCTGTCCTGGCTGGAGCAGGGTCGGAAGTAGAAGCTGAAAGGCAGCTGCTGTCCAGTGGCAGTGAGGGCTGAGGCGGACGTGCAGGGTGTGGAGGAGGTAGTCTCCAAGGGTGAGAGAGAAGGGGACAATCAGATGCTACTAGTTGTGTTTTTAACATGGGTGCACAATTGTTACTGTGCCAGGAAGGATGGGTTGTTTGTTTAACTAATTGTACTGTGCCCTTTAGAAAGTTCATACCTGCTGATCTAGCCATTCCATGTCTAGGGCTCCAGCCTGAGCAAAGACCTGAGATTGTGACAGCGTTAAGCAGGAGAATATTAATCTCAATGATAGCTGTAAGAATAACAGCTAAAATCAAAGTGAGATGCATGCCCTCGAGGGAATATGCAAAAGGATTGTGTTAAGTGAGAAATATTGGAATTTGCATCTCATTTTTTTAATTGAAAATACAAGAAAAAAATAAGGTTTACTAATATGTCAAATATGAATTGGCCCGCACACCCTCATTTGATCCTTAAATCAGTCAGTCTCATGTTATGTGAGATCTCTTGGGAAAAGAAAGGGAACTTTGCCTTGTGGATCCTTTCTCTGTTAATAGCTCAGACCAGTTGCTATTGAGTCACTTCTGACCCCACGTGTGTCAGGGCACAACTCTGCTCCGTAGTGTTTTCAATAGCTGCTTTGTTTAGAAGTGAGTCTCCAGGCCTCTTTTTCATCAAACCTCCAACCTTCCATAATGTTAATTCTTTGTACCACCTAGGGACTCCTATAATAGCAACATGGGTATAGTGTAGAAATGAATATTAGGAGTGCTTGACGATTTTTACTAACGGGGTGTGTGACACTTCGTGGGAGGTGTATGGAAACACACAGGCGCCTCTGCCCCCAGCAGTAAGGAGAGGCTCCAAGGAGGCAATACAGCTTTATGGATTACCCTGAGCCCTCACTAATGGGCCAGCTTTAGCTTTTAATAGGAAATCATGACTATTTCTTTCCCTTCGGTTTCAACATGTTTTGTAAGGACTTCCAGGGTATGTTGGTAAAAACCGCAGCTCTTTCAGCAGATTTCGTAACATCACAGCTTTCATTAACAACTCTTTATCCGATGAACCCAACACTGGCCTTCCAATCCTTTCTGCTGGAGTTCAAGGCAGCACATGACCCCCTACCAGCATCCTGCTTTCCACTGCAAAAAAAAAAAAAAAAAAGTTAATGCCCAGGTGTGGTATTAAGGTAAGGGAAAATTGAGTTTATTAGAAAAAATTCTTCAGCCATCTGAACATGTCCCCACATCTGCTGAAGGAGAATAGCCTAACTTTCTCCAAGGACATTTGCTTTTCTATAGGTGCATTTCCCTTAGTTTTCTAGTATAAAAAACCCATAATTTAAATAATAGTTTTCTGTTTAAACAATGCTTCTTGAAAGAGTTTTGGTCCTGGAACTCTGTGTACATATTAAAACTGTAAATAATCTTGTCATGTGGACTAAATCTCCTTAATGTGCATGGCAAAATTGAATTCATTTCTAATTAATGTAGCATTACCTTATTGAAAAGGTGGATTACTTTCTGTTTTCTGATTGCCCTTGAATGTTACCTCGAAGTTGTAGGAGTGCTGATGAAGTCAATAAGGGTTGTGCATTGATTTTTCAGACACAAGGACCATCTCCAGTGTGGTTCCAGACATGTCCCAAGGACAAACAATTTTCAACAGTGCGATGGCTGGGACCAAGATGAAACACATGAGGGAGTAAGTAGCATATTGCCTGCGGGGAGTGTTAGAATAATATATTAACAAAAAGTGTGATCTAGTCATGTGATGCTATTGCACACAAAAAAATGGCAGCTGTGCTTTCCTACATGCAACAGTGAGTGGGATGGGCCAGAGCTCAATGAAAAGGTCTGAATCTGCATCAGTGATGCCTCTTTCAGAGTTCTTGGCAAGGAAGAGACACCCATCTTTGTAGTCTAACCTTTCATACAACCCATGCCTCTAGATCAGGGGTTGGCATACCAGTTGTCATTGAGTCATTTCCAACTCACAGTGACCCTATGAATGCAGAGTAGAACTCTTCCATAGGGTCTTCAAGGCTGTGACATTGTGGAAACAAACTGCCAGTCTTTTTTTCTAAGGTACCTGCCAACGATGGTTTTGAACCACCATCCATTTGGTTAGTAGTCAAGCACTTAATCATTTGTGGCATAGTGCCTAAAGCATTTGACTGCTAACCAGAAGGCTGGTGGTTCAAACCCACCAGCCACTCCTAGGAAGGAAGACTGGGCAATCTACTTTCATAGCGATACCGCCTTGGAAACTCAAGGAGGGGTCACTATGAGTCAAGTTGACTCCATGGCAGTGAGATTTTTTGTTTTTGTTTTTTTCCTGTTTAAATGATTCCTTGTAAAAGGCAAGATAATAAATATTTTAGGTTTGTGGGCCATACAGTTTCCATTGCAGTTACTCAACTCAGCCGTTGTAACACAAAAGAAGCTATAGACAATATGCAAATAAATAGGTTGTGCTGTTATGCCATTTATGTAAATAAATGACCATGTGGCTGTGCTCCAATCACGCATTATTTTGGGGCACTAAAATTTGAATTTCACATACTTGTCAGCTATTACAAAATATTATTCTTATTTTGATTTTTTTCAATCATTTAAAAATGTAAAAACCATTCTTAGCTTGCAGGGTACAAAAAGGGATGACAGGCCAGATTTGGCCTATGTAGTTTCCCACCCCTGCTCCTCTCTAAAATGCACCTTAGCTGTGGTGGCATAGTGCCTAAGGCATCTGACTGCTAACAAGAAGGCTGGTGGTTCAAACCTACCAGCTACTCCTCAGAACTAAGACTGGGCAATCTATTTCCGCAGTGATACTGCCTCGGAAACCCAAGGAAGGGTCACTATGGGTTGGATCTGACTCAACAGCAGGGACTATGAGTTGGAAGTGACTCGACAGCAGGGAGTTTTTGTTTTTGTTTTTGTTTTTCTGAATATTAGTGCTGGTTGAGTAGTTAGGGAAGTTTGGCAAGAATTATTTTCAGTCAATTTGCATTATTAGTGTTCTTATAGGACAGTGTATCATCATTCAGGCTAATAGTTGAAAGCAAAAGATAAAAACATGCTGAAAATCGTTTCTAAACCTAAAGCTGGTAAGGAGTTTAGATGTTTATTGTTTGCAAGGCCTGCCCACCTACCAGAGATCACATAGTAGCAGAGTTACCATGACAACAACCAATTCACAGGAATGAAAAGAGGAAGCATTTAGACTAAACTGCCCTGCCTCTACTACCTCTATCCCTCCTTGCTAGGAGGAGATTATGGAGAAGGCTTTGCTAATCTCCCAGTCCATCATCAAAGAGAAAATAATTTACTCACTTATTTCTCCCTTAAAATTTAATAATATGTTATTATCAGACGTTTTTTGAATCTAAGACTTCCTTGCTTTTGCAAAGTACAGAACATCTCAAATCCTAGCATAATATGAAATGTTTTTAGATAATTAAAATGAAACTAGTTTTGCCAAAATAAATGGCAGAGATGCATTCTAGTGATTTTTTTCCTGGCGTGTTCTTTTCTTCCCCATTGCTTGGCTGAATCTGCCCAAGTATTTTCTGGCTCACCTTTTTGATGTGGACCAATTCATTGTGGGCTGCTGCCCCCCAGGTATGATATTGTTCCTTGAGCAGAATAACCTGCCAGGAAACGCTATACCAATGCTGAAAGACAAAAAGGAAATGGAGGCTTTGGTGCATTGTATCTTTTGAGCATGTTGTGTTTCTTCAGTTTCTAAGACTTAGAACACATTCAAAGAAGCAGGAATCTTGCCATTCTGTCTCTGCACAGTGGTGTACTGTGTGCTCAGCATGTGGACAGCAACTGTTGGGACACTCAGAAAGTGAGTGACATTTGTCTCCAGGGAGTTTACAATGTAGAAAGAGCACCAAACTTCATATGTGAAAGGTTAAATGATAACACACACACAAAAAAAAAACTGTTGCTGTCTGACTCATGACAACCCCATGCATGACAGAGTAGACTGCCCCGTCGAGTTTTCTTTGCTGTAATCTTTATGGAAGTAGATCTTCCAGCTTTCTCCCATGGCACCGCTGGGTGGGTTCAGACCACCAGCCTTTTAAGTTAATGTTGTTGTTGTTGTTATGTGCCGTCGAGTCAGCCCCGACTCATAGCGACCCCTCCTTGGGTTTCCGAGGCAGTATCACTACGGAAGTAGGATTGCCCAACCTTCCTTCCGAGGAGTGGCTGGTGAGTTTGAACCACCAGCCTTCTGGTTAGCAGTCAAGTGCTTTAGCCACTATGCTACCAGAGCTCCTTTTAAGTTAATAGTCAAGCTCAAGCCATTTGAGCCAACACAAACCAAATGAAACACACTGCCATTGAGTTGGTTTCAACTCATCGTGACCCCCCAGGACAGAGTAAAACCACCCCATAGGGTTTGTAAGGCTGTAAACCTTTACGAAGCAGACTGCTTCATCTTTCTCCCACAAAGAGGCTAGTGGGTTTGAACCACCAACTTTTTGTTAGGACCTGAATGCTTTAACCACCAGACTCCTTTTGTGCTACCCAAACAACAACAGAAAAAAAAAAAAAAAAAAACCCACTGCCATCGAGTTGATTCTGACTCATAGTGACCTCCATTGGGTTTCCAAGGCAGTAAATCTTTACAGAAGTAGATTGCCTCATCTTTCTTCCATGGAGTGCCTGGTGGGTTTGAACTGCCAACCTTGTGGTTAGCAGTCAAGTGCCTTAGGCACTGAGCCACTAGAGTTTCTTTGTGCTACCCACTGACCCTTAAACAACAACAAGTGGTTATGTAATATGAGATAATGGTGAAGAGAAAAGCCCACATGGGACCAAGGCTATATACCAAACAGAACAGATAGTGAGAGCTCTGAGTTTGGAAGGGGTAAGTCGAGGAGGCCTCAGGGAGAAGCAGAAACTTGACCTTGGCCTTAACAGAAAGGTAGGATTTAGAGAGGCAAAACAAGGTAGGAGAAGCTGGAGATGAGCATATTTGGAGGCGTGGTCTTGGCTTCACCTATAATATCTTTCTGACCTTAGGCAAGTGGTTTTCTAAGTTTCTGTTTCCACATACGTAAAATGGTCAGTTGCCACAGCTCCGTCCCCAGGAAGAAGACTTAGAGGTGGGAGTTAACATGCAGAAAGTTGGTGAGGAGTGTTCCTGAATCCAATGGCTGAAGAAAGAGAAAGGGTAAGGTACTGGACTGGGTAGAAAACAGTGAGATCCGGCTGATCTATGGGGAGTTCTAGAGGTGGAATAACCCTTCAGCACTGTCCTTTGTTGTGGGAGAGGACCAAGCCTTTATAACCCCAAATCAATCAGTCCTTGGATGTGGGCCACCCTGTGAAGGGGATGTGACTGGGCAAGATGCTGTCCTCAGCCAAGGGAATCCCCAAAGTAGCTGACAGCTGAGGATCTGCAGCTCGTGAATAACTGCAGGGGTTATTGATAAGTAAATGCTATGATGCATATGAAAGTTATGCATACAAAGGCCACTGTTTTAAAAAAAAAAAATCAAGTAGAATTGGTCATCAGTGAGGAGCAAAGAAAGTAGTTTTTTCAAAAAGCTATGGGGAAGGGAATACAAGAAATATGTTTGGAGGGTAGTAGTTACATCAGGTTAATCATATTAATTTTAAAAAAATTTATTTTGAAAAAATGTTAAGCCTATAGAAAAGTTATAAGAATAAACAAGTTGCAAGTTGTACAGTGAACACCTATACATCCTTCACCTAGTTTAGCAGTTAACATTGTTACATTTGTGCATACAGTCTTTCTCTTTCTCCATATGTAAGTATTATATATGTAATAATTATTATTTCTGAGTCTTCTGAGAATCAATTTATGCATCATGACTCTTCACCCTAAGTATTTAAGTTTGTAGCTCCTAAGAATAAGGACATACTCTTAAATAACCATAGTATAATTATGAAATTCAGGAAATTTTACATTTACTATTTAATATACCAATCCATATTCAAATTTCATTAATTGTCCCAGTAATGTTCTTTATAGCAATTTTTTTTTTTCCTGATCCAGGGTCACACATGGCATTTTACTATCATGTCTCTTTAGTGTCATTTATTCTGGAACAGTTCCTGAATCATTCTTTGCCTTTTATGACATTGATATTTTTGAAGTATGTAGACTATTTGTTTTATACAATGTCCCTCAGTTTGGGTTTGTCTAGTGTTTCCACATGATTAGATTCAGGTTATATATTTTTTATGGTTTCTACATATACAATGCTGTGTCCTGACTTCATAAAAATGTGTTTGAATTTTGTAAAGATACAGACATAAGTAAAAGTAATTGGAATGTTAGAATTAACTATCGTGGACTTGTCAACCATATTCAACAATTATCAGTTTATGGTCAATCTTGTTTTGCCCATCCTTCTATGTTATTTTTGAGGAAGTCTCATTCATCATATCTCTTCATCCATTAACATTTCAGGGAAGATATGAATTTTAACCTGCTTAGACATCTCCCATTCGATGTCCACTAGGCATCTCAAACTCAGGATGTCCAAAACTGAACTCCTGAAGTTCCCTACCAAAACTGCCCCTTCCACAGCCTTCCCTATCTTTACAGAAGCAAAGATAAGATCTAGAAAAGAACAAACCTTTCAGCTCAAATCTCGGTACCTCTAGATGGCTTACTGCATGGTAGTCTGTGAGTATCGGATAAATGGCTTCTTTATC